AACCGTATTTATTGCACGCCATCAATTTTCACAACCGCCAGCGATGATCGCGTACATCTCAGAGCTATGCAGTCAGCAATGTCCCACACGCTTCTTTTTGCGGCGGTGTCTGTTACAGAGCGATATTTGGTTACGAGTATCTGTAGGAAGAGCACGTACTGTGCCTATGTCGCATGGCAAATTTCCGTCAAAACTTACAAATGACGAGATAACGTTACGTTGATTCATCATCGTTAAGACGGCTCAACAAAACTCCATTGTTACTTTACTGCTCTTGGTGAGAAGCAAACGATCAGAGTTTAGGCACCTTAAATAAATATACTTCAATAATTGTTTTTTGGTTTGCACCATCGTGATGCCAAATTGATGACAGTTCATCATACATAACACGAAATAATCATTAGCGTAATTGTGGAGAATATAAGTTAACAAAATAGATGAGCAGATAATTTCTCCTCCCTACGTCTGTCTCTCCACATGAACTAATAAAATAGCTTTGTCATAGCAATGTAGAAAATAAAACGAACACTCTACTCCTTAGACAATTGAAGATTGATTCGAATTTTATTTTCCTGTATAGTTTCAGCTCAACTGCCCTTTATTTAAACATTTTTTGATATTTAGATGAAGGTTGGCTATCATTTCAGTGTTTGGTGTGGTTTCCATAAATTATACTGCAAAGCCGAAATGTATATATAACAACGCCCATGTTTACAGCATGTGAACCTATTGATACAATATTACAGTGATAATGTTTTCTGTGTTATAACCGTGCTATGAGAACCACAAGTTTACACGTGTTCTTATTCTATTAGATGGTAAATTTAGGCTTAGACAGACAAAAATAAACCTTTTACTTACTCACCCAGCATTGCTCACTCAACATTGAGGCTGACAGACCACCCAGAAAGGTGTTATGAAGTCCACTGTGTGGTAGACAGACAGTGGCATAGCTATCGAGTGTGCAAACTGTGCAACTGCACCATAGCCCACAGGACCAGAAGTTAGAAGGGTCAAGGTTTCAAGGACGCCACGGTCGCGAGATGTTAATTACCTCGCCTGGTTTATAGGAGGTTGTGGGTTCAATCCCGGCCCTGACACCTCTATATTTAGAGCTTGCATCTTTTCTCCAGGCCCTCCGATTTGTCCATACACATTTCTAAACATGCGTTGAAAGTATTTGGCTGCGATGAATGTAGACATCAAAAGCAACTTCGTTCAGCTATCATTTGTGGCCAGGTCACGTGTGAAAAAGGGCTACATAGCTCAGTGGGCCTTACCTATTAAAATTTTAAAAAGTAAAATTTTTGTATATATATTTTTCGTGGCTACAAAGAGGGTGGAAATTGGACATGGGTGGCGGGGGGGGGCATTTCCGAAGACCAGGGCCCATGGTGACTACACCATGCCACTAGTGGAAGGAACACATGTGATAGATAAAAGTATTTTAGCATTCCCAGGGTTTGATAAAACCAGGTGATATCACCCTTGCTGAAAGAGCATCAACGTCGGGCCAGGTCAGAGCTTATTCTGAGTCATCCGATTTTGACAAAACAGGCCTCACTTTGTCAGTTCCACCCACTAACTCTGCTCATCAAAGCTTAATAATAATTCCAATCACTTAAAAAAGAATATAAAATTCTCTGTACCATCATTATCGTCGTTTTGAATGTGAAGATTGTTCCATGCATCTCCATAAAGCTATTTTCAAGAGAGGTCTCATGCCCTTTGTACTGGGATGTTTATAGTAATTACTAATTATAGTAATTTTGCCATATAAATTTGGCTACAACACTGGCAGACAATGGCCTACTGATATGAATATCATCAAAAACCCTTTTATGTCTGAGAGTTATTAGATTGAATGTCCTCCCCAGAGGACTAGTATGATTTTTTTGATAACAGTCTTTGCACATATTATTTTGGGGCTGACACCAGTGGCTCAGTTGGTGAACCTCAGATGCAGAAGTTTTAAAATTATATTTCTCATAAGCATGTCGTGATTCGTCCACCCATATTTGTTTCAATTATTAGTTTGTATTCAGGGTAACGGTTCCATTCGACAATTATACTCTTCTATAAAGTGGTGAATATAGTGGCCTCTAGTGGTAGTAGGGGTAAAGTGAACTTATTACATACAACATACACTGTGCAAATCGAAAAACCTAGATTCTTGTACTCATGATATGACGCACGTATCATGAGCTCGAGCCGGTATTGACCAATCGATGCATCATTACATCCATAATGTATAGGACACATGGAGTAGTCACTCCAGGAACTGTAGCGTTCATCATGAGAACGATGATTTTTTTTTACAATCTCTCATTATCTACTGTTAAGTAATTTTAAATAAAGTCTCCTAACAAATTACATTTTACAGCTCTTTGTTGATCAATCTTCTGAATGAAGACTTTAAATTGGTGAAGAGGACAGAGAGGGGCAGAACCGGTTCAGAGTACACTCGCCACTTACGCTCGCTATGGCCGGAAATCAAACTCAGGTCAGCGGGTTGATCGTGCTTTGCACAGATCACTGCTCCCACCCACACCGTTATATTAATTATGCATGAACAAGATTAATAAAGTCCTACAAACCACATTTTAGGCACTTGGAATAGGCGAGTCCACTTTAGATATTTTAACTACCTCTTACAACACAACAAAGTTGCCTTCAAAATGACTAAATGGGCACAGATGTGCACTTTTTTACATGAATTTATGACAGATTATAGTGCAGCTAGCTCGGTTTACAATACTTGTTTTATAGTTACTCAGATCTTCTAATAAAAAAAAAACACTTAAGTTATGGGGGACTATAGGTCACCTCGTTATAAAAATTATGGCTGTCAACAGGGTTGTAGCAAGAGCACATCACAGCCCTTTATAATCAAGTGAACTGTATGACAGGATTTCATTAGGGTTCTTTATTCTGTATTTAACCAGGCATAGTCCAATATAGGTATTTTTTGTTTGTTTGTAAGACTTATCCGTGTAAACATATATATATTTAGTCGGTGTTTTTTTCTGTAAGTTGTGGATATTGGCTACAGCACCAACGCAGTTTGGCTTACCTCTACAAATGTCATCGTTACCATCATCACATCTTGTGTATCTGATGCTCTGGCTGTGTGAAAGGAGCATGTAAAAGCATTCGCTAAATAAAATCAATCATCATATCATCTTCCATTTATCCACAGCTGGATGAGGCCCTCCCTGTACGAAAGCCATTCCTCATGGTCCTGTGATCCTAAAATCCATCTCCCATGCATGAGCTAATCTCCGGTTACTAGCCTTGTCCATTGGTCATTATCTCTTTGAACAGATGTCTTGTACAAGCTCACTTGTATTACTCGTCAACAGTGCCTATGCATTGTGTTAGTTTCCGAATAAACACAAATGTAACAAAAACGCCTAAGTAATGTTTTTGTACTTAGCAAAACCTGTTTTTGCACCTGCATATTTGAATACAGTTATTGCACTGCGTGTTAAAAGAATCAAATGAAACGTCGTCAGCAGCAGTGACCATTTTTGATTCTATTTGTACCTTCATGGCTTTACAATGCGGTAATTTGAGGTGTGCGTATTTGTACCGCGGAACCCGATATGTCATCTGACCGGTTGGGAAGACACTAAATCAAGCATCTCAGTGGGAGGTGGTGGAGTGATCTGACGCATATTTGTCATGAGATAAATAATAATCTGATTAAAGCCCGTGTATTGTATTTGTGGCACCATATTGCAAGACATAAGTAATGCGCCATTTGCAGGTGCATGTTCAGCAACTATGTTAAAGAGTTGTATATTACAAAAAAGTATAATACTCGATCATATTCACATCTTTGAACAAAATTACTGTTATTATAAAAAGAAACTTTACATGAGTAATTATACTGTACAGTATATAGATATTATGCAGAGACCAAGTAAGATATTAGTTATGGACCAGTTAATATTCAGTGTCCTACATGTCTGGTTTATTTGCATTGTGAGGTCAACCATGGGAGATAATTGTTCAAGTACCCCACATGTATTTATCGATAATTTATAGGGTAAGGATTTGAGGTTAGTTTGGTGCTATTCTGGTGAGTTTTTGGTGATAGATTGGTTAATTTGTAAACCATTCAACTGTCACCTTTCGCACTGGCTGAAGTGCATTTTTCCAACACGGCATACAGTATTTGCCACAAACAGGTTTTGTAAAGGAACTCTTCTTCTGTTTGTGATCTATTTACCGATTGCAAATCCACACAGACAGCCTTTGGCTTCACCCGTGCGCTGCGTGTCAATTTGGCAGCAGTCGATGTTATGTCGCCCGGCTGTAGGAATGGGAATTTCAGGACACTGCGTCGCCTCGGTGAATGTCAGGCGTGCAGTGGGGGTTACCACCTGTCCTGGTTTTCGTAAAATTGTCCTATTGTTGTGGTAGCTTAGATAATATTTTAATTCGCTTGTAAGCACTAACGTGTTTTGCTTGGAGTTGTGTGTTTTTTTTTTAATTCCAACGTGGTTCTTGTCGAAAATTAAAATTTGATGTCATTTTGTGGCTTTGGGGCCTCTTGCTTCATGCTGTTGTATGTATGTATGTACATGTTGAACTTCTTTTGCACCGTACGTAGCCAACCGTGCTGATCGGAGGTGCGGGAAAACGCTGTTGAGCGTTTTGCCATGCCCTTTGCATCACTTACGCTGGATAAAAGTAAACTGTTATCATTAGCTCTCCTGCAAAATCTACGTTAAAAACGCGCCCTGTTTTTGTCAATTGCGTAACAATCCGGCACTCGGAGCAATTGATATTTACTCTCAAAATTGCAAGCTATTCTTCTCCTTCCTCTTCCCATGATACATGCCAGTAATTTTAGTTTTGTTTTTGTTGTTGCACCTCAACCTTGCAACTTGCAACCACCCTCGTCCCCCCAAGAGGTGCCCTCTTAACGCTTGTGCACGTCTTGGGCCCCCACGACCACCACCACCACCACCACCCACCCACCCTCTCACCAGGGCTGGCTGTGCGAACTGCTGCGCTGGAAGGAGACGCCCTCGCCCGAGAACCGCACCCTGTGGGAGAACCTGGCCACCATCCGCCGCTTCCTGAGCCTGCCCCAGAACGAGCGCGATGCCATCTACGAGGAAGAGGCCGGAGCGCACCACCACCCGCCCACGCTGCTACAGCAGCAGCAGCAGCAGCCACCGCCGGCAGCGGCATCGCACGCCGCTCACTTGACGCACGCCACCATCGGCACGCAGCCCTGCCTGCTGCCTCACCCCGACGTGCTGCCGGTGATTTACCTGTTGCCCCCCCCCCCACCACCACCACCACCAGCCTCCACCCCCCCCACCACCACCACCAGCCTCCACCCCCTCACCAGCCCCCCCCCCCAGCCCCCCCTCCACCAGCCCAGCCTCCCCCCCTACCTAACCTCCCCACCTGTCCCCCCCCTTTCACCAGCACCCCCGCTGCCCAAGCCTCCACCCCACACTCCACCTTCCCCCCTCTGTGTGTGTCTGTGTGTGTCTGTGTGTTTGTGTCTTTGTGTGTGTGTCTGTGTGTGTTTGTGTGTGTCTGTGTGTTTGTGTGTTTGTGTCTTTGTGTGTGTCTGTCTGTGTGTCTGTGTGTGTCTGTGTGTGTCTGTGTGTGTGTTTGTGTGTGTGTGTGTCTGTGTGTGTGTGTCTGTGTGTGTGTGTCTGTGTGTGTGTGTCTGTGTGTGTCTGTGTGTGTCTGTCTGTGTGTGTCTGTGACTTCATTCTTATTCTCTCAGACTTCATTCATAATCCCCACTAAAGACTTCATTCTTATTCGATTACTTTATTCGTATTCTTCATAATTCCATGTGTACTATCACGACGACTTAATTCTTAATCTCTGCCTTCATTCCTCTAGCCTTGCGACGTCATTCTTATTGTCTACAACTTCATTCTTCTGCCCTTGTTGGTGACTTAGTTCTTGCTCTCTGTCATTTGCTCAAGCATCCCCTCTCCCCCTTCCTTGGGAGCTTCACCCAGAGCCAGTGTGTTTATTCCTCGAGCTGTGCTTTCACCCCATCGGGTTTGTGTCAGCTGTAGCAGGGTGCATTCATTTGTCCTCGAGAAATAATGATAGTTTTATTGCCATTGTGTATGTGATTTAGACAACATTAATGTAATGCTGCAGTCATTTAAGATATAACATACAAATCGCGCCACCAACTCCATATATATATATTTTTATTGGTGTATGCATCGACCTAACATGCATTTCTAATAGCATTTAATTTTATTTGTGAAGCAAATTTATCACTTATTCACATCATTTGTATTTTCATATAATTCCCATCAAAAGATACTGTAAGCCAGCAGTGATTTGAATCTCGTGAAACAGTCCAACCAAATTCTTACCACTTGAAAATCTAACCTTTACCATTCCCAGTGCGAACATTGAGTCATCCCTATCTCCGCATGCTGTTGATTTGCACGTTTTAACTTTTAAGCAGTAAATCATCTCCTTTATAAATCACTGGCATCATCGTCATAATGAAACCGTGCAATTCTTTCCCCTAGCCCCTTGCAAGCTCAGGGACCATCTGCAGTCATCAACAAATCATTTGTTATTGCCGTGATAATGTTAGACTGCCAAGCTGCTGCCATCATCAGCATCAGCTTTTCCTCTCCCGGATCACGCCAATAAGCCACTGCACCAGGCAAAGCACGACCAGGTAGCCAACCGGTTTTCAGCACTATTAGCTCACTGGTCAGTGCACAACACCGTCACCTCTGACCTTAGGATCTGCAACCAGATACTATTCAAGACACCCTGAATCCAAACACAAGAGGCTGAGTTTTGTTTGTACGTTGATCACACCACTGTTCTGCTGCAGCTCACTTTGCCTATTTTCTCCTAGTTCATAGAACCTTGGTCAAATCAAGAAATCCTATAAAACTCTTATCTCTTACGACTTTAAAAAGTGCTGTTTGGTGCTAGCCCACTTGGTGCTGTGGGCTTTTGGGTCTGTGGTCGGCAACCATGGTTTAAAAACAGATGTGTTTACAAAATTATTCGGTAGACAAAACATTCTCGTGCTAGTTTGTCATTATTTTATTTGTAGTTATGATAAGTGAAAATATTCTTTACATTATTGTGCACATTATGTATGAAAATCGCTTTTCAGGATGCACAACTGTGTGCAGTGCTTGTCATAGACAGTATAGATAAATTATAAAGCTTGGACAAGCCATATTTATTTTTTCTTAACCATTATATTTGTTAATATATTTCATGCAGTGTCACTTAAAAAACGAACGTGCACATTCAGTATGCCAATTGTGTCCCTCCAAAAATTTCCAGAATACTAAGTAACACATTTATTTAAATTAATAACTCCCATCAACTTATGGACACTACTTGGAAACACAAGAGCGTATGCTCACATTATATCTCTCGGGATCAAAATGGTTCGAACAACGTATTGCTTGTGCGAAATGTAATTTGTCCAATGGAAAGCAGACGTACCAATGAGCCTAAGGAGGAAAGTTTTCAATCGGTGCATTTTACCCGCCATAACGTACGCAACAAAAAAAAACATGGGACACCGACAAAAGTATCTGGAACGAAGCTTAAAAGCAAGCAATAAAAAGTATAGAGACGTTCTTGCTTGGAATTACATTGGGAGATAAACCACAGATCAGGTGGGGTGGGGTGGGGGAGCAAACTAGAGACACCATATTAATAATTGACTTGGACAGGACACCTGCCTGGAGCAATGATGGCGGGTAATAAAGTGGCAGCCGAAGGAGAGAACGCACCCGAGGTGATGAGATCGGCCCGTGTGCATGAGGAAAGCAAGACGCATTGTGGAAATCGCAAGATCGTGTTCAATAAATGGTGACGAGATGGGGAGCATATAGATAACGGCTGACGATGCTGACAATGACTTCGTGTAGGTGTTTCTAATTGAGAACATGAAAGCTGGTCCACAACGTTATGGGTTTTATTTTACACGCATGGTAACAGAAATGAGAGATAAAGATCAGATAAAAAGCATTTCACATTCTGGTTTTCGCATACATCGTGGTATTTTAATATTTTGTATGAACCTATCTTAAAATTAACAATGCAAAAGAGGTGTTTTACGATAAACGCTATAAATGGAAACTCACGGACATTAACACCTTAAACACTTTCCCAAATTTATTTTTCAATCTCCATTTGTTTTCCACAAAATAAGCACACGTGTTTACAAATACAGCATGACCTTCCAACTACTGTAGTTTTACAAAAGGTTTACAAATTTATATCTTTATCTGGAGGTATTTTATTTTGTCTAAGCATAAAATTGAGAACCAAATTTATCTCCCGTTTTGCAATTAGAAAAAGTATTTAAAGACTTTGAATTCATAAAAAAAATTTGTGAAGTAGTTCCCCTACATTTGGATTACGCTTCATTTTCTCCTTCGCAGTGTTTAGGAGACAAACCTATCAAATGTGTAGACCATGTTTCTATAACGTGCAATACTTGTACATATATATACGTATAAAAACGCGCAGGGCTGACGTAGTTCGTGGCATGAACCCGGCGAACCGAGTTCGATTCCCGGCCACGGTTATCGTCAGTGGCGTTAACAGAACCAGGTTCCACGACCAACAGGCTGGCAAAAACTAATGGACGGCGACGGGGAAGACCTCCATCAGCTGTGCATTGACAAGGGGATTTATACGATTATAATAATTATTTAAATAAACGTGTGTTGTGTTCGAAGCGTTCCTGACATCCCCCTGTTTCTGACCTTGCGTAGAGGGAGGTCTCCCGATTTTGCATCTCTGGTGGTTGGAAGGTCTGTATGCTACCATATATCAACTACTAAATTCACATCTTCCCTCATACTTGAAAACTTAAATCATATGCTTATGGTCACGTTAAAACATTATCGAAAGCTGATCGCAGACAGACTGCGCAGGACTCGATTACATCCATTTAGATTTTCTCTGCACTCGGTAGAGTGGTTTTTTTTTGCGGCATGCATATGCAATCCTGTTTGTTTTGCAGCTGAGCGTGAAAGGGATATTCTAGTTTAATTTTACTGTGTCCATATGCTCCAATTGCTACAAATAAGCGTTTTTTAAATGAATGCAGAGACAAGAGTGAGCTAACCAACTGTGGTCACCTGCCTTTAAGCATCTTAGCTTTACTTTTTTTCGGAGAGAGAGGCAACCACCATATCAGCTGATTTGAAATTCATTAACATCGTCAAACACATCTTTTTTTAATGTGTAACACTTTGCATGAAATTCCCGTGATAAGATGAGCGTACTGTTGTTTGTTGGTTTCTGCTCGCCTGCTTATAATAACTGAGATATAGTGCAGCTGAGAGAAGCCATGCGTTCAAGTCGCATCAACTGTGCCCATCATCTTTCTGGGGGTGGGTAATAAGGGCACCGATTGGCAGAGCACAGTTGGATGTACAGTGAGGGAAAAAAAGTATTTGATCCCCTGCTGATTTTGTACGTTTGCCCACTGACAAAGAAATGGTCAGTCTATAATTTTAATGGTAGGTTTATTTGAACAGTGAGAGACAGAGTAACAACAAGAACATCCAGAAAAACGCATGTCAAAAATGTTATAAATTGATTTGCATTTTAATGAGGGCAATAAGTATTTGACCCGCTTTCAATCAGAAAGATTTCTGGCTCCCAGGTGTCTTTTATACATGTAACAAGCTGAGATTAGGAGCACACTCTTAGAGGGAGTGCTCCTAATCTCAGCTCGTTACCTGTATAAAAGACACCTGTCCACAGAAGCAATCAATCAGATTCCAAACTCTCCACCATGGCCAAGACCAAAGAACTCTCCAAAGATGTCAGGGACAAGAGTGTAGACCTACACAAGGCTGGAATGGGCTACAAGACCATTGCCAAGCAGCTTGGTGAGAAGGTGACAACAGTTGGTGCGATTATTCGCAAATGGAAAAAATTCAAAAGAACTGTCAATCTCCCTCGGCCTAGGAACTGCATGCAAGATCTCACCTCGTGGAGTTGCAATGATCATGAGAACGGTGAGGAATCAGCCCAGAACTACACGGGAGGATCTTATCAATGATCTCAAGGCAGCTGGGACCATAGTCACCAAGAAAACAATTGGTAACACACTATGCCGTGAAGGACTGAAATCCTGCAGCGCCCGCAAGCTCCCCCTGCTCAAGAAAGCAATACACATGCCCGTCTGAAGTTTGCCAATTAACATCTGAATGATTCAGAGGACAACTGGGTGAAAGTGTTGTGGTCAGATGAGACCAAAATGGAGCTCTTTGGCATCAACTCAACTCGCCGTGTTTGGAGGAGGAGGAATGCTGCCTATGACCCCAAGAACACCATCCCCACCGTCAAACATGGAGGTGGAAACATGCTTTGGGGGTGTTTTTCTGCTAAGGGGACAGGGCAACTTCACCGCATCAAAGGGACGATGGACGGGGCTATGTACCGTCAAATCTTGGGTGAGAACCTCCTTCCCTCAGCCAGGGCATTGAAAATGGGTCGTGGATGGGTATTCCAGCATGACAATGACCCAATACACACGGCCAAGGCAACACACGGCCAAGGCAACACAGGAGTGGCTCAAGAAGAAGCACATTAAGGTCCTGGAGTGGCCTAGCCAGTCTCCAGACCTTAATCCCATCGAAAATCTGTGGAGGGAGCTGAAGGTTCAAGTTGCCAAACGTCAGCCTCGAAACCTTAATGACTTGGAGAAGATCTGCAAAGAGGAGTGGGACAAAATCCCTCCTGAGATGTGTGCAAACCTGGTGGCCAACTACAAGAAACGTCTGACCTCTGTGATTGCCAACAAGGGTTTTGCCACCAAGTACTAAGTCATGTTTTGCAGAGGGGTCAAATACTTATTTCCCTCATTAAAATGCAAATCAATTTATAACATTTTTGACATGCGTTTTTCTGGATTTTTTTTATTGTTATTCTGTCTCTCACTGTTCAAATAAACCTACCATTAAATTTCGATTTAAAGCTTTCATGACTGCAGGAATTCATCTTCTTGGTTCTTTCCGTAAAGTCACGTAGAATGGAAATAAAATAATAAAAATACAACATAATAAAAATAAAATTCTCACGACGTTTCGGCCACAACACAAGTAGCCTTTTTCAGGTGAAGGAACAGAACTGTCGGGACGACAGCGCTTCATTGAACTCTGCTGTTACTTTATGTTAATTTATGTTAATAGCTCAACTTATTGAAGAATATATTGAGTGCATTTATTATATTGATGTAGTTTATACTTAGTTCTTTCACATTGGCTTATTGTATGATAGTTGGGTAGTTGCAGTTCTTTAGCGTCAATATACTAAATGCCTCTGTTGATATGTAAACTTTGACTTTAACATAGCTACTTCCGTGACCAGTTACATGCTAATCCCTCACACTAACATCATGCTAATCTCTCAGTTACATGCTAATTTCTGACTTTAACACCCTGCTAATCCAACACTTTAACACAGCTATTTCAATGCTAAATTATTCCGTTGATATGTTAACGCCTTTGTCAAGGCGCTCTGCTCCTCCCACCCAGCTTAAAAGACACTGCGAAGCTCAGCAGTGTGCAATGAAGCGCTGTCGTCCCGACAGTTCTGTTCCTTCACCTGAAGAAGGCTACTTGTGTTGTGGCCAAAACGTCGTGAGAATTTTATTTTATTATGTTTATTTTTTATTATTTTACTACCATTAAAATTATAGACTGATCATTTCTTTGTCAGTGGGCAAACGTACAAATTCAGCAGGGGATCAAATACTTTTTTCCCTCACTGTAGAAGGCAACAGTGGTCGCCCACCATGAGTGTATGGGATTCACACAGAGTTCAGACAGTACTCACTTTATACTTTTTACAAGTAAAAATATTTTAATTTAAAATATGATGGTGATAATTACATTTCTGGAAAATACGGATTTGGCATGGAACGCAATACTGGTAAAAAAATATACATATGATGCCTAGTTAGTGACACACTCATTAGTAGCCTAAACCGAACCACTGCGAAAGCTGAAAAACAGCAGCTCCAGCAGAATAACCGTGTAATTGGTAGTATGGTATGGTAATGTCGGCGTCCGGGCTGTGGTTTCAGTGGTGTCGTGCGCTCTCCCGTGTCCTCAGCCTCCCACAAGCCAGCCGCTGGTGCTGATCCAGGGCGATCGTCTGGCCGTGGCGACCAGACCAGCGGCCTCTCCTCCCCCGCTGCCTCCGGCTCGCGACGAGGACGCGAGCAACGGGGGAGGCGCGGGCCCACCGTCCCTCCCCAAGGCGCGCGTCCGCACACGCATCTCCGTGGAGGCCCTGGGCATCCTGCAGAGCTTCATCCAGGACGTGGGGCTCTACCCGGACCAGGAGGCAGTGCAAACGCTGTCGGCGCAGCTGGACCTTCCGCGGCACACCATCCTGAAATTTTTCCAGAATCAACGCTACCAGGCGAAGCACCATCAGCGAACGATGCGGGAAGCGTTGCAGGAGGGACAGGCGGCGCACGAAGCAGGTCGGCAGCAGCAGGAGCAGCACTGCGGCGAGGCGAGCGGTGCCGGCGGATGCAGGGATGAGTCCGACGGTGGGATGAGCCCAAATGCCACCGGCGAGATGATGATGGACGACTCCATGGAAGATAGCGACGAAGGAAGTGACGCTTACCATGAGGTGGACACGCACAACAATGATGACAATGAGGATGATGAGGATGAGGAGGACGAGGTAGAAGATCACCATGCCGCAAGCCCCGAAGTGGAGGCGCACAGAGAAGTAGAGCAGAGCAACTCGGAGTAGTCACGCAGTGGCTTTTAAGGCAACACTAGGAATTTATGTTTGTACATGATGGTAGACTCGTTCAAGTTAGAGTGAACAAAATACTCTGCTGATAAGTCTGCAATCCCGACATGAAGATGCATCTTCAGCTCATTTACATTTTACGAACAGCAATTGTGAATGAACTTGTATAATTGTTCACTTTAGAAGGCAGCTTGAAACATGAAGGACGGGAGGTAAGGGAGAGATGAATAGATTTAAAAGTAATATAATGTTGAAATTGATGTTGTCTGTGTTGGGTAGTTGATATATATTTAAGATTAGATTTTGCAGTCATTCATAGTAAATCTGTTTCATTATTAAAATAGCAGTGCCGAAAATTTAAGTTAATAAAATGGCTATTTTGAATTTTCAAAATCACAACTGGCAACAGTGAGTTTAAAAATCCATTAACAATAATTCCAGTTGAAGCTAAACTTTCATTAAAGCTGGTACAATTGCAGCTTAACATTATATATACGATGGTAAGAGATGTAACAAAATCAAACTGGCTTTTTCTTATTTGCTTTACTGTATTTTCTATTAAAATTCCAAAAGAGCCATGCTCACATGATTAGCAATTCGATATCGACTGCAATCTCTAAAATGCAGATGTCATTAACAGCCGCCACACAGATCCCCTCCCGTCTGCGCAGACGAGGTTTAAAATAGCAAGACAACAAGGAGACGGGAGTAGCATCATCTCCTTTAATAAACGCACCATCGTTGTGAAGCTTAAGTTGCAGGTGACAACAATGCGTGCGAGCATAGAGCACATTGAGAGTCGGAGACAATAATTCGAACAGGGGTCACTTGAGCATTAGAAAGGAGGAACTATTTGTACTTGGCAAAAACAATTATCGGAGTGATCTGAATTGGCTCGCTGCGTTAGACTGAAGGCCCGAGAGCTTCAAAGTGCTCAAGAGAAAGCTGCACGTGCTCTGGCGCACTCGCCGACTGACAAGAGATGTATCTCGTCCCTGCAGAATTATAAACAGATTTTACAACAGAAGTTTTGAACGGGGATAATGAATAATCATAAGGAATGAATCCGAAGCGAAAAAGCACCTTAAACATAATGTCAAATTGTGTTCGTTGGCATTTGGTGCTGGGTGTTATTGATGTATCTAATTAACTGAACATTCTTTTTTTAACCATCAAATTCAGGTGCATTACTTACTGTGCAGTATTACAGTGCGTAGGTGTTAGGGGTACCCCTGGATGCACATCTTGAAATTCAAATGATATTTGTTTGTAAAACGGTGGGTGAAGCCAGCGGAAAACAGTTGGTTGATGAGGACAAATAATTAGTGCTGATGTGATGGATTGATTCCCTGATAGTGGCAAACCTACGGCTGGGCCCTGCAAGCGCTCTCGAGGCGGTGATTAACAGCCGCGCGTCTAAACGGCACTTAATAAAGACTGATTCGGCTTGCCGGCCTAATCGCTGGGCATCCGTCACTCCAGCCACCATCGTTAAGTGCTCTAGCACCGCAGATGTTTGCCAATGGACCGAAAGGAAGGGGGGGGGGGAAGAACGCGCGCGTAGTCAGAACGCGCACCTTAATGGTACTCGTGAACAGTTGACTTCCTTGAGTTCCAGTTTAAAGGGCAGCGATCAGCTGCTCCATTGTATACGTTATGAAGGTGTGTAATTTTGTTTAATTTGTCTTACTTAGGCTGGCTCACGTCCGAGATTTTTCACGTGGAGTAGTAACCCTTGCACACAATTCACACGTACACGTCCTATATCACCGGCATCATTATTATTTTACGAAGCGAATGCGTTGATTTACGTAGGGCTGTTAATTGTGTTTCGGAGAGAATAAGGAAGGTTGACTGTGCTAATGCGTTATTGCGTCGAACGGAGCGCTTCAACGTAACCTGCCTTACTGCGATGTGTGGCTTCAGAAGGCGGCGCGTTGCGGACCTCCTCTGTACATATAACAAGGTGACCATCGGTGGAGATGCACACCATTAAATAACTATTAAAGCTCGTGTAATTTTGCGCGATTAGAAGCTCTTAACGGGAACACTTTGAGGATATTTATAGGTGAATAAAACTTGACTGGGTAATTTGCCTTTACATTTTCAAATCGACACTGATAAATGTGCGTGTTTGCAGCCTGCCGAAGTGTTTGTCTTTTTTTTCTTGCTGGCCCACATGCCCAAAAATGATGATGAATCATGCCTAGGGAGGACAGAGATGGCTCCCAGTAACTAGTTATTATTATTATTTTTGTCGTCTTGCAATTTTTTTTGCACCAAAATATGTTTGGTACAATAATCACAATGAAAGCTTGCATGTATTCAGGCAATAATTCCAGAAAGAAAGAAGAAAAAAACAATATTCCGTAATTGTACGTTCCAGTAATGAGCGGGGTTTTTTTGTATGATAGAAATGTCATCAGCTTTAGATAGTTTGGTGCGAGATATTCTGTTTGGCAACAAGACGTAAAGCTTCATGATGATTCCTCTAATTAATTCCCAGATGACACGTGCCAACATGATTAAAGCCCATGATTGAATCATATAGGTCTTATTCCAGCTGTTTCCTTTGTTTGCGAAAATGTTTTTTTTCGTTTAAAAAATAGCGATGCAAATAAACAAAATAAACTCTGTACCAAGCTAATTCTTACATATATATTAATTCATTATTTTGATCACAAAAAAACTGTGTAGTGAAATAAATTATTTATCAAAACACTTTTGTTATATTTGTATTATGTGCTGTATATAGTTATATAAAGGCAATCGTGTATATTTAATATATACATGGTAGCAAGGCTTAATTTCTCTCTATTTTACGGAACGCTGCTAGGCTGTGGATTATTGGCATAAGGCACTACCACTAGACTGCGAGGTATGGCTATCCATAAGAATCTTATATTATTATTATACATTATCTTCCTATAATCTTAGTAACAGGTTTTTTAAAAAAAAAAATATGATGCATATTAAGGTACGATGAATGAGGATGGGTGTCAAAATAATTGTCGGAACGGCGTTTCGGCTGAAATTAAACGCTGCACAGAAGAATGCACACACGCACACATGCACCGATTCACGTGTGCTGTGAAATATTTCCACGGTGGTTTTGGCACAATGCACTGCATCCTAGTACATGGTCTCTACAGCAATGACTTTTCCGAGGAAACCGCTATTTGTAGCCGATGTTGCCCTCCTTTAGGTTAGCTCCAGCTAAAATGAACACTGACTGCAATGTGTCAACAGATGTTCCTTAAAACAAATGCTCACCCCCATTATCTTTGTGTATCTACGTGCGGGGCATCTGTGTTTGTTGTTGTTGTTTGATGGGCATTAATAAATGCTGACTCGGTCATGGTACTTGCAGGTAGTTTAACCAAGGTAACATGAGGATCGCGTTTACCTATGAGAGAATTTGTGTCCATGTCGATGCATCATTCGTGTAGCTTACCCTTCTAAAAGGGTCCTTGTTCTTAGGATTGTGACAGAAGCTTAATGGTCAACTCTTGAGAAAGTAATCATGGGGATCTCAAAGTTCAAATGAGAGCACAACTGTGACGACCATGTCCTATCGTGTTGAGTTTAAAAATCGAACAACTTTAAATTTTGGCTTAAAACTTTCGTGACTGCGGGAATTCATATTCTTTGGTTATTTCGGTAAAGTCACGTAGATAGAAAAATAATGAATAAAAATAATTAAAATAAGCAAAAAATAATTTTAAAAAACCACTAATGTAGACTGTGGCCTGTAGCCTGCAGTCTACATTAGTGTTTTCTTTTCTTTTAATTATTTTTATTCACTTTATTGTTTATAATCCTTTTTCTCTCTCCGTGACTTTACCGAAAGAACCAAAGAATATCGATCAACTTTAATTTACTTAATGGCAAATGTGCCAACCGCCAAAGTGACTTGTGTGTTCCCCAATTTGGATTAAATTGGGTGGTTGGTAGGTGCAAGTATGAATCACTCCAGTCTGAAAATACACAGCACCTCCGTCTACTCCATCACAGAACCTTCTCCACCCTTGGAGTTCCTCATAACTCTCAGGTTGTACCACAGATGACTTGACAATTTTGTCAATAATGGTGAACAGCAGTTGTGTGTATTCTGTATGTGAAAGACAGCCAAAACATTTCGGGAATGTTAATGATTTGCTTGGCTGTTTCTTTCAGGCAAATTTTTGAAGACCCCATCTTTATGTTTTACTCATAAAATACAAACTGATCATATAGATAACTTTGATACAATAATACAGGTTAGTCTGTCAATGCTTTTATTATTTTACAATTTCATTGTTGAAACGTGTTTACTGTACTGTCCCGTGTGTGCGTGACTTAACGAGGAAAACAAAAAAAATACGTGATGTCAAACAGGCCTGGCTGATAAATGTATGCAGTGTATGTATATAGTGTGTGTGTGTATACACACTGCATGTGAAGTTTGTTTGGTGGAGCGGTGGGACAGTGGTTATCGTAATGCGCGATTAATCTGTCGACCGGAGTTTGATTGCCAGCCAAGGCAAACATCAGAGGTGAATGGATATCTGAACCGGTCCTGGCCCAATCTCCCCTTGACCAATCCACACCGGCCAGCGTAATTAAATATGGTTCAAACAATTCCGAAGACTGACACAGCATGAGAAAGGCCTTCACCAGCAGTGGATTGACACAGGGCTCTTACATACTCTTTGGTTCTATTCGGTAAAGTCACGTAGGTAAAAAATGAAAACAACAAAAATCACGACGTTTCGGCCACAACACAAGCGGCCTTCATCAGGTGACGGGACCAACTTGTCCAGCGGACAGCGTTGGAGTGAAGAAAGCCAAGCGCTGGTCGCCTCCCTTTAAGCTGTGAGGGGGCAAACAGCAAACGCCCATTGAAATTTAGATCTAAACGCCCATTGAAATTAAAATCGCTGTCCGCTGGACAGGTTGGTCCCTTCACCTGATGAAGGCCGCTTGTGTTGTGGCCGAAACGTCGTGATTTTTGTTGTTTTCATTTTTTACCTACGTGACTTTACCGAATAGAACCAAAGAGCATGGATCCTTGCAGTCACGAAAGCTTCAAATCTAGAAGGGCTCTTACAGTTTTTAAAATATTTACTATTACAGAATATGTTGTTTGCATTGCTGTCAGATGTAATTGCACACAAGAAAAAAACGTAATGCTTTCGTAATGCCTGCGGTCAGTTAAACTGGAATCGCTTAGCTCTGGGAAAGGATGAAATATGTTTAAAGAAAAACACATGTTTTGGTAGTTCAGATAAGGATCAGCACCTTTCATTAACGCTTGTATACACAGACCTTGTCAGTATGTCTCTACACCTTTTGCATGGACACACGTTGAAACACTTTGCAATTTGTTTACCCTAGGAAAGTTTGGAATGAGATTTATTTTACGTTTTGATTAAACATGTTTAACACATGCTGTATTTCAATTCCTAATGGCAATTTTTTTTATTCATGGCAAACTCCGCCAGGGTGACAGTTATTGAATAAATACGGTTAATTTTGACGTCCATAGCATTTGAAAATGCAGCACCGATCTGTTGTCTGGGCAAGGGCCATGAATGAATTGATTTATCAATAGGCTTCATAAGTCAGACTTGACTTAGAGAGATATGAGGCTTGACATGAAGGAATACATCATTGCCCATGCTGCCACTTAAATAAGGCCACCTTTATTAGCCAGCAGCAATAAGTGTCAGTAATTCTGCGTTATTCCTCGATTATTTGTCTCTGAGGGCCATGTGCTCCACAGGATACAATGCGGAACATGGTGTAGCACGGGGGGGGAGGGGGCATTTTTTGTACGGAGGGGGAGTGAGCCAGCTGGGAAAGAGGACCTTGGTTTAGCCACACTGCTTGTGCCGAATCTTGTCTGCCACTTCCCTACTGATACGCTGCTGCTGCTGGCGCTTGCACACCCACGCACACTTCACTCGACACCGCGGCTCCGTTGAGCTGCCCCGTTAGCGCAGTGCAACAAAAAAAAAACCCGCTTCGAAAAATAATTTATTGCCTTCAATGTGTTTTTTTAATCCCTGTAAATCGTTGCAGAGAAACGTGAAGCTGTGCCTTCGTTTGCTACCTTTAATCGTGTAATGCGTCGTATGTTTTTTTTCCGTCAACCAAAATACTGTATAGTTTGTTTTCTGTCTGGATGTACATTAACGTAGTTTTCACATTGCAGTTGCTGTTCAGAATAAATGATAATTGCAGACAACTGCGAACTTTGCTTGCAATGACATGAAACGCTAATGCTTGGTGTTCTTTTTTTAATCACAAGCCTTTTAACATTTGTAATGTTTTTTTTATTCACAAAAGTTAAATTCAAAGTTTATATATGACGAATAAAGTATGATAATTGGACAATTGTATGGGTTTTCATATAATGTCCCGCTCCTCCGATTAACACGGTTGGCTACGCACGGTGCGAAAGAAGTTCAATATACATACATTTTGTTGAGATGAAATGCACCCTACCTGGTGTGTATAGCAAAAGGTGGCTGGTATGCCATGCAACCTCAAATGAATATCAGGAAACATCTGTGCAATAATTTGCACCTATTGTGAAGTCATGCAAGCATCAATACAGCCTGACGAAGATTCAGACTTTGAAGTTTGCGATTGGCTTTTACAGCAGCATATTTTACCCAGATGCACTTACTTAGAGTTATTCAGGTTTTAATAAGACATATTGGAAGCACTATATATCTAAAGCAAAGCAAGGTCACGCCTCCTTATGCCACCTGGGCTCTGCTTTTTTTGTTGTGCTTTGTTATCCGTCACCAGAACGTGTTCTATTGTATTGTTTCAGCGATTGCTCATTGGCCGCCGTTTAATCGTTGAACATGTTACGTGCTGGCTGTAGGGTGTGTTCATCTCTGGAGATCGCATGCCACTGGGATATCTTTGTCTGCCTCTCCTGGCCTTAATGTAAGCACAGGCAAACTCAGCCTCACTCGCTCTGGCATACACAGTCAATGGGTGCCAGAACAGAAATTGCTACCACCTAACGTGACGACACATTTTGCAGTGCTGGTTTATTTGTCCGGCGAATTAGAGCGAACTGTTTGATAACCCACCGATTTAAAACGGTTATCACAAAGTTCGCTTTTGTTTGACACTTTGAGGAATTGGAACCACCAAAAGCTCTGCCACCTCAGCCGGTACCGACAAGTGCGATATATGGTCTAGGTTCATGGACTAAAATACGTTGACACAGGCACGCACGCTGGTTTGAGCCATCCATTATTCTATAAAAGTCAAAGTGATTTCCCGCTTAAGTCAGCATTTAGTGACAACTATGTGGGGAAGAGAACTATGTGTTGTCCTATGGGTAGACGCCCCCACCATAGGAATATGGAATGTTCACAACTGACTCAGGGCTCTTAAACTGGAGATTAGCACCACCCCGAGTATGCGATCACACAATAATGATGATATCGAAAAATGCATTGTGAAGCAAACATCATTGCAATTCCCCTTGTATTAAGCGTCACTGAGCCTCAAGACTCCATTGCACATTTGGCCCTTTCCATTTTGCGTTTGGCATGTGGAGGACCAAAAAAACGGAGATATCCAAAGAAAACACTCAGATTCGGAGGTTACACACTCAAAGTTCCACACAGATATATTTTACTTTTTATGCATTGCCGTTCTGCCATTTCCTGATCACCTTGCAACCCCAGCCTACTTAAAAAAGAAATTTGGTGAAGACAAAAAAATATTTAATGAGCAGAGGCTGACTTTAACTTGGCTATGTTGTTGAGAATGGTCCATTGTCGATGAGTAAGAACCTGCCATGGGCTACATGGCGCAACCGTGGCGGAAGCATAATATCCGATCACCTTTGTTTCTGCCCCAGAACATACCTTAGCACACACCTTATCAAAGCACACGGGGTACTCAAAGTTGACCCACGGAATGCCCTTATCGCGTAG